GAAGTTGCAGTTGTATTAGGAAAATCTTGTCCATATTTAGAAAGTGTAGATTTTTGGAAAGCACAAACTTTAACTCCACATGGAGTTACAGCTTTGTCTCGCTGTACTAATCTTCGAGAAGTGGATTTTGGTTGGTGGTATGTTTTTAAAAAGAAAATATTTTATCATCTGCATAATTAATTAATTTCGATTTAATTTATTTCAACAATTATCTGTCTGTATAGTGGTGGAATGGGTGCTCCTGGTGATTCCTTACGAACATTGTTATCATCATGTCGCTACTTGGAAAAAGTATTTCTAGCAGCGCTTAGGGGATTAACAGATCGTGATTTAGAACCACTTTTATTATGTCAACGATTACAACAATTGGATCTATTAGGAGCTCGTTCCCTTACACCTGATATATGTTATGGATTTTTACTATTTTGCCCAAAGTTGGAAATGATTGACCTCAGTTTCTGTGAAGGTATTAATGATTTTATAGTACAGTTATGGCGACAGCAATATCCACATGTTTCCATTAAAAGAAGCTTTCAAGTATATAATTCAAGAGAAGAAGGGGAGAATACAAGCTCCAAGACTGTAATGTAATTGTATATAATTGTATGTGAAATATAATTATTGAAATATGTGTGTATTTATATTTGTCTTTTGTATAAGTATATATATAATATATTTTTGAAGTTACAACTTATTATGTGTATAGTGCAGGGAAAATGTTTATATGTATGAAAAAAAATAGTATCACTAAGAAAAAGATATTGAAGCTAGATAAGATGCATTGTATTTAACTTGGTAAAATAAATTGTGAATTTTTATGAAGATATAAGTGTATATTTTAATTTTATTTAAAGAATCTTTTTTAAATTATAGATCTCTCTATTAAAGTATCATAGAACAATACAATACAATATCCCTCTCCTATAAGAGGGAGAGAACACATATTCTATGAAAGTGGGGGTAGGGAATGTGAGTGATACATTGTATACACGAGTGAAGTGCACGTGGTTATTTTCAGTACAGGTTATTTAAACTATTTTTATAAAGAACTTGAATTTTGTGTAATTAAAAATAAGCAATGTGAATTTTAAATTAAAAAGTACATTAAATATATTTAAAGTGTACGTGTATGTAATTTTATGCACATAAATTACTTAAAAATAATGAAGACCGATTTAGAAAATAAATCGCCTGATTTTGGAAATAACATCAAAAAGAGGAAGAAGCAAAAAGGTAAGCAATACAATATAACATTTTATTTAAAAGAATTACAATTTTAATATATACATAATTTTTTTATATCGTTACGCGAAATGTTTTAATATTTAAAATTTTTGAAAAATGAAATTAGAATCTTCAAATTTTTGAAATTATTCTTAATATGATACATTTTTTATTTTATAACTCCATATAATAAATTCTATCTAAAATCTGAAAAAATTTTTAATTTCAGAAATGAATCATGTAGATATTAAGCATATTGATGGTAATTTGCAAGCAGTTGATGAACAAAATGATACAAACATGCTCAAAAGGAATTTAGCTTATGATGAAAACGAAATAATTAAAAAACAGAAGAAAAACCATATCAAAAAAATATACAAATTGAACATTTAAAATTAATTAATGGTATTGTACATATTTTTTTATGTTATATATATGTATATAAGATGTTTAATGAGTAATTATGTATAAATTTTTTATTATAGATGTAGAAAGTATTAACAAAGATGAAAATTTCGAAGACAAAGAAGATATAAATAAAGAAACGCAACATTTGGATGGAATCACTTTAAGGGAAAGTTTTAATTCTCCAAATGGTTTAGATATGTTAAGAAAATTTGTCAAAATCTGTAATGAAAACAAAAAAAGAGATTTAGCTGCAGAATATTTAAATACAGGTGGCAATATTTTGGAAATATTAAGATTATTAGATACTTCAGAAAAGAAAGGTACTAGTACTATTACAATTGTATGTGCTGCTGTAAAGATATTAATAATGAAGTAAGTATGTTATATTATTATAAGTTCAAATGCATTTCAAATAATAAATTGTTCCATGTAAATTTATGTTAATTTCTGTTTTTGTTAAGGATTTTAACACAATATCCAGAATACCAAACTGAAGCAGAAAGAGCATGTCATCACTTAATTAATTCACATTTATCATTAATTCATTCAATGATGTCTGCAAAAAGTAATGTAAAACAACGAAAAATAATTTTGCAATTACTTGCTGTAATAGTTTCATTAGGTGGTACTTTACCACGTGAACTACTTTCTCACCTAGCTTTACCTCCAGAACTTGTTAAATCTTTTGTGCAGCATACAAAACCCACAGATGATCAGAATATAAGGAACTGTTTTATTCACTTCATCCTTGCTTTCTTAATAGAAGGAAGTGTACCAGTCATTAGGTCTCTTTTGGATAAACAGCATTTGCTTTCTAGTATATTCCCTGATCTTATATATGATTCTAAAGATATTGTTGCTTTAATTTTAACTACTCTTAAAACTTATGTTCTTCACAACTCAAATGTAAGCAAAACTGTGAAGTTACAAATATTTTCAATACCAGTTATTCAGAATCTTGTATATCTATATAATTGGAAAGGTCCAAATAATTGGTCAAAACATAAAACTCAAAATGTTATGCCAAATTCACAATATCATGAAGAAAAAAAGGTAGTTATTGTTAATGTTACATTTTAATATGATTAACTTATATTTGATCTTACTAATAATTAAAGTTTTTAGCATTTAATTATATTTCATATGAACTTAAAAAATATTTTCTAATTCAGGTTGTTATTGAAATTGTGCATGACTTTCTAATTGTGTTATTAACGTCACATCGATATGGAATTATTTTTCATGATCATATGCTTGGGATAACAAGCGTTAAACATAATTACATGGTAAATGCAATACTTCAAAGCTTAGATCGACCATGGGAATATGAAAAACCATCAAATTTAGTAATTAAAATAATGACAGTATGCCCAGATTTAATTAAATCTCAATATATTTTATTGGAACCATACATTGAACCCAGAGTTTCAGTGAAATGGATTATTGTGATAAAATTTGTAAGGGAGGTAAATAATTTACATTTTCTATCTTATTGCTTAATGTTTGTTACATAATATTCACATTGAATAAACTTTATTACAGATAGTACAATCTGTAGATGTAGAAACTTGTATAAAGACAAGTTCATTAGAATTAAATGCATTTCAATTAGCTAGTGCAATGTTATCTTTGACTTTACCAGAAGTAATATTGAAAAGAGCAATTATGCCATCTTTAACCTATTCTAATATAATAGTACGACATGAAGCAGTACTTACACTTATATCTATGTTTAATCAGATACAAAAGTGCTTAATAGTTACAAAAATAGTTTATAAAGAAGATAGTGATTTTTGTACTTTTAAGAAGTTCGTAACAGAATTCATGATGAAGGTATATATGTCATTTTAAAGTGCATAAATTAAAAGATTCAAACATTGTATTTATCTTTGAGTAAATTGTAAAACACACTAATAATTATTTTATTATTTTGAATAAATGTTTTTATAGAATGTACCTAATTTAAATATGATACTGAAAGTCTGGAGTTGTGCTTTTATATCAGATTTAATTGAAGATAACAACAATGATAAGGAGTACATCCCAGAACCAAAGAAACATGAACATTTAATTGCTGTTTTAAATTTACTACACATGTATAATGAAGTATGTCCAAAACTGTTAGACACATCACCTGATGTGCAACCTGATACATTTTTAAATGTATTGAATAAATTGGATGATACTAATAATACTGAATTTAATACTATAAAAGTAAAGGCTATACAATTTCTATTTATATTGCATCCTAATGAATTTTTACCAGATAAGGTATGTAAAATATAGTTTCTACTTTAAGTTCAATTTTTTTAAGTAATTTATTTTCAATTACAAGTTTTCTTGATATTGATGAATATTTTTTTTTTAAGGAAATATTTAGGGATGCGCTATCGTTTTTAATAGGTGTCTTAAACGAAGAAGTATCTACAAAAGTAACAATTAAAACTTTATTGAATGCTACTGGAATGTTTGAAGGATGTAGTGATCATTTGGATATTTGGATTAATGGTTTTATAAATATGAATGATAGAGAAGAAGTCACAAAGTGGTTTATTCGTGCTATAAATAAAACCGCTCAAAATATTGAAAAATATGTAAATAAAATAATTGTGGCAGAAGAAATTCTTAATCAAGAAATTGTTCATGCTGGCAGATTAGAAAACATATTTAATGGTAAAAATGAATTTATTCGTTAAATGTATGTATGTATTATTTATAATTATCTTATTTCTTATATTTTTTAGATCTAATGAATAAGCCTAATGTTCATGAAGATTTGGCGAGTAATATTTTGCGTATGCAACGCTTTACATCATTATCACCTCTTTTATGTTGTATGTTACACAAAACAAAGAAAGATTTACAAATTCCAATTTTATCTTATCTGTCTTACATTTTAATACATACGTTGCATTATCAAATAACACCTCAATGTTTAATACATTTAACTAAAGATATAGAAACATTGCCAGTGAAAGAGTATTTATTAAGCTGGTTAGACGGTAATCAACCCGTTAATATTAAAAAAATACTGCCTTCAATGACCTTAATATGTAAACTGAATTCAGTATTTTTAAATGATACTAGATTACAGCTTAATGAAATATTTGATGGCAACAGTACTGTTACTTTTGAGTATAATAATGAGAATATAACAATTTGCCACTCTTTGTCAACATTTGAAATTACATATTTGTTCAAAATGACTACATTCTATTTAACACAATTTACTAAACGAGGTATCCTAACGAAAATTCAGTATGATAATCTCAAAATTTTGTTAATATCATTATTGTATCTTGCAAAAAATAGTCCCGACGATTTTATGCTTGTGGAAGAATGTGTGAAGTCCATTTTTACGCATCCTATTATTTTGCATTACTTTTCACCACTTAATAAAAAAGGCAAAGACGTCATCAAAAATATGATAACCCTTATAATTATTGACGTTTGTAATGTAACAATTGATTTATGTAAAAAATATAATATTAGAAGTCTATTCTCACATTTTAAAAATAAGTTTCTTATGCAACTATGTAAAATGATAGACAAACAACAGAAAGGAGAAAACGTAAATAATTTTGATACCGTTACTACTTTGTTAGAGGTATTGCAATTAACGCCGAAAGATATTGTATATTTATTAAAGAGGATAATGAAATTAGAAAATAGTATGTTTGTTTCAAATGATCAAAAAGATTTATCAATATATGGGTATGCGAGTCCAAAGCTTTTAAAATTGATAAATAGTAGTGAAATGAAATCCGAACGCAATGCATTCTTTAAATTAGATGCAGAATTTGTTAAATGCTTCTGTTTACATTTGCTATTTATAAAATCAAATTGTGTTACCAATTTTGAAATGTGGGAAACAGCTCTACATGGATATCTTTTAAAATTTTCATTCAATATATCTGGTATTGATACAAGTAAGTTATCATAAGTATCATAATATTATTTTATTGCTCTATTATGTTTTTACTGTGATCTCATATATTTATGTGATATTAATATATTTTTAGGTATATTTACATCATTATTATCAACAACAATTACTGAAACAACTGTTGGATTAATTTCATTCCTTATTAGTAAAAATATAACGTTTATACCAGTTTTTACAGAGAGTATAATGAAATCTAATAATATAAAAAGAGCTAATGTTGTATTACCACTAATTGAGAGTAATTTAAACATTAAATGGAATCAAGAGTTTCTACAGAATTTGAAGAAACATCACGAAACTGAAATTCTGGCATACTTGTGTAATCCAAAAAATACCAAATCTTGGATAGAAGAAAATATTATGGCAACTTGCTATTTAATTAAAACTACATTTCACTTTAAAACATGTAATGAAATATGTAATACTATTTTACACATCGGTGACAAATTGGATATGATATCTGAACATTATATAAAGCTTCTTCAAACTATATACTATAAGTGTACTGACTTGGAAACAAAGAGTGATAAATTTATTATCAATTTGACACAAGTTCTTCTCCATATAACTACTTTAACTTTAAAAAGCGAGTCTAAAAATATTCAAAAGCTTTATATACTTTGTGAAGCACTGAATGATGCAGTTAATCGCTTAAGAGATAAAAGGGAAGATTTTGTATTTGAGGCATTAAGTACTAACCATTCGTGGTTGCAATTTACACGATTTTCTTTAAAATTTGGTCTTAAAAAATTAAAAAGCGGTGAAGAACCAGTACCGATATTAAGAACCTTAAGTATTTTGTGTAATATCGCATATAAAAATGACAGTAATAATGAATATGTTGAAACCTTGTTTGAAATGACAACTTCTCATTCTGAATTTATTAATGTTATGTTGGAATCATCAGATACAAAAGGTATGCATATAATAGTAATTGTGTTACAAATGTATTACTTATTTACTTATTTAATGCATATTTAGGGGATTTAGTTAAATTGTTATGGATTCTTATACAAAAAAATAAAACAGTTATGGCATTAACGCATATACCTGTTTATTTGGCTGCATACAATGCTACTTTAACTGAAGCTGATCAATATATTTTACTTGTAAGTATATAGACAGTAAACAGGAATAAATTTTATATTATTTTTTAGAAAAAATATTAGTATATAGATTTGTTTTAGATTTTGCAATATTACGAAAGTAATAATCTTAATATTCACGAATATCGACCATATATATGGGGAAATGCGGCTACAATATATTACAGTGTAAAAGGCGAAGAATATACGAGTTTGTGGAGGCAACCGTCTATTTCTCAAGTTTTAAATTTATTTGAAGAAGATATAGTAAATAATACGATAAAACATTATCCAGTGGACAGAGCTTTGAATGTAATTTCGTTTGAGTATTTACAATTTTTGAAAATTTATTCAATATGTTCAAAACATTTACTTTTTTTGACTCTGTGAAACGACATAAAATATATTTGATCGTATTTCATTTTTTACAGAATAATGACTTGTGCAAGACAAATCATGTATATGATCCAGCATTTTATTTACCATTATTATGTTTTTTATTGTCTGAAAATAATGTTGTGCCATATTACAAAGTTGTACAGTGTGGTGCTTTAGCATTAACATTTGCTGCATGTAGCAGTAAGCATTCTGATATTCGTATGGTAGCTTATACCGTCATTGCAAGATATTATAGTCATTTGGAAGCTTCCAGGTATTTCGTAAGAAATAATAGTAACAATAATAATAAAAGTTACATATCTTGCAATACTAGATTGAATATTACTTTTCTATTTCTAGATGGAAAGCAAAGTTGTTATGGATGCGACTAATAGACGCGCTACGTTATGGTATTATATCGCAAGAGTCTAAATTTAATAGTGCACGTCTAAATTGTTTAGTTTCTACATTTTTGGCAAGAACGTCTTTGATTGCTACGTATCCATTACATCCTCTTTATTCAGCTTTACAAACATTTCTGATGGCAAAACCAGCAATGGATATAAATACGATACCAGAATTATTACAACTTTTTCACAGTTCTGACGTAGAATATAAAGAACACAGATATTGGATTTTGGAAAATATTCGCGATGGTATGAAAACAGAAAGTGAATTGGACATTGCTTTCAAATGTGTTTTGTTTAAAATGCTTTTAGATTTTTATATTTCTACTCTTTCAGATGCAAATACAAAGGTAATATTTTTATTCTTCTCAAATCTAATCTATTTTCATTTTACTTGAATAATATATTGTTATTTCAGAAACTTATTCTAGAAGTCATCGATGTTACGTTAAAAATTACTAAAGGCTCTGTATTTCTTATAGAGGGTCATGGATTACTTCCATGGCTATTTGAAGTTGCAAGAAATTCGTACAAATATGGAGTACAATATATTGAGCTTATAGTGAAAATAATGGATAAAATTTTGAATATTATATTGAATATTAAAGGGGACACCGTCCACTACAAATTAATGCTTTTAAATGTTGCATTATGTTTAAAGTCACATTTAGTAAAAAATATTAAGATTGGTACTTTTACTTTGTATATCAACATTTTGCAAACATTACTTCTTTCGAAATGTATGAAAGTAATTGTTACTAAAGAACATATGACAGAGATCCTTGAATTTTCTAAAAATTTGTTAGATGATGTAGATGAATGTGAAGATATGTTACGTTTTGGTTGTGAATATGTAACTAAAGTACATTGTTTAAACAATAATGATGAAATCGAAGTAGCAAAAAATAGCTTGAGAACATTAGTATGGACATGGTGTATTCACGAAGTAAAGCAAAACAATATATAATTTTTTATATACTATCTAAGCATTGTAATTAAATTGTGTATATATTTATCTCAGATATTTTTTGTAAGATATGGTGTTTTGTAAACATTTAAATAAGTTGCAAAAATAATGAAGTAAAAAAGTATAAATACGTGTAATAAACATGCAATTTTTCAGAAATTTTGTAGTACGTTCAAATATGGCGCCAGTTTTGTATGTTTTACTCGATCGATTGTTATATCGAAGTAATCGATATTGACCGATGAAACTATATTTAGGAACGTTGGATTACTTTGAACGTTTATTCAACATTGTGCTTGTTGGTGTATTTTTTTACGGAATTGTTGATCTTTTTGTTTTAACGTTAACTATATTGTTAATAGTGCTTTTTTTATACAATCGTGTGATATATTAAAAAAACCTTCAAGTTCTGTCGTATCGATACAAATTTTTAAGGTACATAACTATATTCTGTCAAACGTATATAATTAATCTTTCGCCTGCTAAGAGTATTTCACGCCATAACAGTTATTTGTCATGCTCAGTACACCTTATTATTTGGGTAAAATGTATGTACTAAAACGTCTGCATTTGGATCCATATACTTTCCCTGGTGGTGTCGTAATACTATCGTAATTTGAAAAATATCTAGATTTTCAAATAACATCTCGCCATTGTAACACTCCTTCATTTTTGGTAAGGCATGTCCATCAGTATTTAACTGTCGTCTTGATAATTTTACCGCCACAGATGACATGCCTTCATTTAAGTCTCTCATGGCCTGTTGTGTCTTCTCGTGTTTCAAAACGAGATGAGCAACATTATTTTGGTCAGTTCTGCTTAGGAAACCAGATTTCATACTTCCTGTTAGTCGAGAATAATTTTCGACGCTATCGTATACACCTGTAGCATTTGCATCGGATGCGTGACCTCTTGGATGTCCAGGAGCCCTGCATCCGCGACAGTAAACATTTTGCGAATTGTCAAGTACGACACCTGCTGCCTTAGGTGATGTACCAATATATCGAGCGCCGCCGATCATTAGCGACGTTTTATTGTTATTACCATTTGAGGATAGAAACGTATCGATTTGAGCGATCAAATGTTTCGTGTTGTTCGTTAGAAAATCAATGGTGTCTGTTCTTAAATCGATAGCGCTCTTTCCTGTTTGAGCAGCAATTACTGTGAACAGACACATATTTAAATCGGTTTCGGCATCAACGGGATCTTTATTACCCAATAATGTCCAATGTCCTATACAGTTTGGTGCTTGTTTGTGATATTCGACATTGATAGTATGCCCAATCAAACTATCGCTCGTTCCATTATTAATCGTTTGACATAAACGACCGTCCGGCTTCCATATTCGAATTGGTTTTCCCGTGAGTATACTTAGTGCGTTCATATGAATTAAACCTGTTGGCCCGTAATTTTTCAGATCGTTAATCAGATATTTAGCGAATTTTATTTTCCATAATTGTTCATTCTTTATTATTTTATATCTATCGTTGGATTTTCCGCGACGTCCGCGTATTTCTCTGTCTCGTTGTTTTTCATCTTGTGAATCATCGTTACCGATCGAATTTATGATCTCGTTGATATCGGGCATTACTTTCTTTTTTTTTTTTTTTTTTTTTTTTCGTAAAATGCTCCTTACAATTTCGAGTGTATATTTTGTCACCGATAACTTGAATTTCTTGTTCTTTTTCTATTGCGCGTCTTCCTCCATCGTATTGTCTTTTTCTTCTAAACCAGCACGATTTATTTGTAGTTTCTGACGAAACAACGGTGAACAGTGTCATTTTAACAATTTTCGGACAATGAAATAATGGAGAAAAGGAGGAAATAGTAAAATAATGAAATTAAATTCATGAAAGTTAATAGCACGTTGATATATCAACATGGTATTAAATGATTCTCATTCGTTCTAAAATTATAACACGAGTAAATACCTTAGTACGAAAGAATACACGTTGAAAGTTCATATTTCCCAAAATTTTCTCGACAGAAGACTAGAATTTCGAAAGGTCGGGCCAAATATCCATGATTGTAGACAATTTTAAAACTTCCGTCTAACCTTCATCCTGAACATTTCGCTCGCTTCTTTTTCTCCCCCTATGCTCATTTTTTTTTTTTTTACAATTTTCGAATATTTCCATTCGATTGATCGTGGATGGGTATCGATTATTCGACTACGCCCTATTATTTAACTGTTTCGAAACAGTTATAAAAGTAGTCTAAACGAAAAAATCGAAATTAAAAAGAAGAAAAATTTCTGAAATATCAATTAGATCACTTTCTTAATGGCCGTCGCCGTCTGTGGATCTTCAGTTACGAAAACGAGTAGGCTCTAGATGATCTCGATCAATCATCATCTAATCGTGAAACGTATGAAACGAAAGGAGAAGAAAAGAAATACTTCGCCCCGTTCGTAAAAGAACGAAAGCAAGCACGCGTATAATCATCAAGTTGAATTCGAAATGGCGTGGTAGTTTCCTCGGAATCTTTGCCGATCGTTCGATGGCCGATCCAATGATCCCATCGCCGGGATAAACGCGGGTTCTGAAAGTCGCGGACGCGGCTGGAAGCTGGCCGTAAGCATCGGCGTAAAGCACGACGGCAGGAGCGGAAAGTACGAGCGGATCGGTACCCGGTTTGCATTTATTGCGGCGGCGCGGCGTCTCGCTTCGGGAGGCGTGCTCAAGAGAGAAATCGTTCGCTGCTCGAGGAGAAAAAGAGGGTTTAAGGGCCAGGAGAAAAAGGAAACCGTTCGTGGCGGTTGGAAATGAGCGGGGAATCGAAAGGCAGAAGGGGGTGAGAGCCGCAGGTGTGGTGGGGATCCCCTGGATCCCTCGCGCACGATCCACGGCTTTCGTTGCTCCGTGCTACGATCGATGGATCAGTCTTGGTGCAACCGTCCCTTCGTGCTGGTTGCCGTCTCACCTTTTCGGTGGCGGTGTGTCGCGCGGTGTACGCGATCCATTTAAATGTTCCGTACACGTATATGGTTGTTCGTGCCCTCGAACCAAACGGTGCGAGATCGTTTTTGCCCGGATCGTCGAGTTTTTCCGCGGATCGCCAGAGGATATCGCGTTCGCGAGGAGAGACGTTGTTGGTAACGGTTGTTGTTGTAAATACCGTATTACACGAGGAGTGCGCGGTTTCGTGGTGAAACGAAATGGTCGAGGAGTGACGCGATGTTCGGTGATTTGAATGCTCGTACAAGCGGTGCCCACTTTTACACCGTCGTCTCGATTTTTCCACGGTGGTGGACACTTTCGATCGAGTGTGTGTCGCATTTCGTAGGAAAGGAAGAGGATGATGTTTCGTTAGAATGATCGTTAAGGATAGATTTTCTAGCCACCTAGTTCGAAATAAATGATAGCTGTTGTAAGTAGAGAATATTGTGAAATCTCGTTGGGAGATATGAACTTCTCAGTAGAAGTATAGTTGTTAAAGACTGTTTAATCATTTTTCGAGGGTTTCTTCGGTAATATATAGGGGGAGTTCCCCTAGCAGCGGACGCTTAAGGTTTTTCTTAAATAAATCTCTCTACCTGTGCACACGCGACTCAAACGCGTAGAAAACTTATTTTTCTTCCTTTTGTCTCCTCTAAGAGATACGCAGAATAACAGCTCCGTAGCGTTTCAATTATTGCAGATATAACTAATCTCCGATATTAGGTGCCGTCCGGCGTTAAGGGAACTCCCCGTATCACGTGCAAGTTAGGGTAGGTAAATCGAAAAAACCGAAAGGAACACCTTTTCTCCGACGATTTTTTCGAGTTTTGTTGGTCTGAGATATCCTTTTTTGCCGATTCTCTCTTTCGAGTTAATTTGTATGTTTGAATTTGGTTGGTAGGTAGTGTCGAATGTTGGAATTTGGAGAGAAAACGAGAAAGATTTTGATCAACGTTCAAATTTCGATTGGTTCGTGTCGGAAAAGTTTACTCGCCGTGTTTCGCTTGTCGTTTCGAAGAATATACGGTGACATTGATGCCGCGGCGAAACGTGCTCGATGGTGATATCAATGCCCGCACAAGAGAGTCGCAACGACTCGTGTACCGAACGTTGGATTCGCGATTACTTGGTTTAAACGCGCTTCTGTACGGTTCCATCCTCATCTCGCGGCCATTTTCGCGTGTAATGTAAAGTTGAATTGTTCGAGCAATTGATTCGAACATTCGTCAAACATACGAAATATATTTCGATAATTTTCAAGATTTTCTCAATCCTCTGTTCCGTATCGTCGAACTGTGCACGATTGTCGCGTACGTGAAGTACTTGAAAATGATCGTTACACGTGGAACTCTTGTACATTTCGAAAACAGTGATGGTGACGGTTGAAAGTGTGAAAAGATAGAGAAGCAATTAGTACAATTATTGTAAACCAACAATTATTGTGTGGCTAGAGTGTTTCATTGACAAGTGTTTGTGATGTGCTTTCAGATCTGTAATTGACACAATTTGTTGCTAGTATGGTGTAACACACGTGACCGCGTTTGGATTACGAGTATCCGGAAATTCTCTTTCAACGGAACATGTATGGCTGGTGAGTAAATTACATTAATAATATATACAGTAAATACTCTACAAGTGTCAGTCAGTTTGGATTCTACAAGTGTCAGTATAGATGGGCCTAGGCCTGCGTCATCTCGCTCGCAGTCAGTCAACAATTCTCGACAATTCATAATAGAAAAATATAATTTCTTTAATTTTACTTTTTTTCATCTGAAATTGTTTTTAACATGTTTTTAACATTTTAACATTTTCCGATGAAAATGAGATCAAACACGATATAATTAATGAACAACATTTACTTATTAACACGTTCACTGTCTGGCGTGACAGTGGGCGCGTGGCTCGAAAACGTAGTCCCTGACTCTACAAGTGTCAGGTTTAGATTCCTCGCGGACTGACACTTGTGGAGAATTTACTGTATCTCGTTTAAAATTGTAAACAAAAGTATGTAAGAAATACGAGATTTCGGCGGCGAAGTGGTGGCCTGGACTTTCTCACCCAGGAAGAGAAAGCGCGCGGGTACCTGAGGGTGCCGTAAACTAAGCCCTTTCCCCGGAAAGTCCAACGAGGGGGCTCCGACGGTTTTTCGGGGCAACGCGGGATACGACGCGGAGGGGACTTAGCAGTCGCTTATCGCTATACTTTAATACATTTTTAGTTAATACCCTATCCTGTGTTAAATGTACTTAAGTTATGCTGACAAGTACATCGACCAAAAATTACGAAAAGAAAATTCAACATTTTTCACGATATCTAAAAATGATACTTTCGTCTACTTCATACGCGCGTCGTGAATACTCGAACAATTCTTCAAAAATCGTTTCAAAATTAACGTATTAGTTATAAAAAAAAAAAAAAACAGATTAATCATCGTAGATGCATCGAACGTCAAGTTATAATTTGCGTAGAATTCATTTCCGCGTATGAATTAAGAGTGGGGGAGAAATATTCGTAAACGGAGAAATATTTAACGGATCTCCCTGTTCGTGGAACCATCAACGAAACAGAGGACGTGATTCTGGACGAAAGGCGGCGTCGTTTCGTGGAAGTCATGAGTTTAACGTTCGCGTTCATGCTGAAAGGGAATGACGAGCCGCGAAACGTGCACGCACCGCCTAACGAACGTACCTCGTACGCATAAACCCGGCACGTGTATATATTTTTTCTCTTCTTTATTCAGTATGCATCCGGCTGGCTGCGTGGCACAGGTAATAATGCGTCTGCCTCTTGGCCACGCAACAATGACGTTCTGTTAACAGTCACTTTTCCGGTGGCGATCCACAGTCCCGTGTGCACTGTTCGACGACTTCGTGTGACATGTGCATGTTTGAAATAGTTGACGGGGACATTCGGGAATACATAACACAGTTTCGTCGTTTCGCGACTACGCGAGATTTCGACGTTACATTTTCGGGGCAATTTTTTCTGGATTTTTCTTCGTTTTTTAAGGAACGACAAGAAATACGACAATCTTGTATGTCGTATTTATTCTGGTGGCAAGACTATCTTAACGGTGTTAAATTTGCCATCTTTGGGTACCTTCTTCCTCAGAAACATACTTCTGCCAATTTTCTACGATTTTTCGAGAAGGCGCGCGAAGCTTGAAAATGTTAACTTTCAGGAAATCGCGACTGTTACTCCGTTAACTTTTTCTACGTTTAAAAATCGAGTAAAATTTGAGAAATGTGTAGCAATTTGTTTGTAATTTCTGGTTATACAGTCGCGTGCGAGAAGATACCGTAAGTTTCATGCTCGTCTTTTCTTAAATAAATCGTGTCTCACTTTAAACAGCAAATTACGGGAAATAACATCGGATGCGTGATTTTTTCTTCGCATATCGCAACTTCCTGAACGGAGATCGTGTGATTTCCGCAGAAATGAAAATTCCACCGAATCGTAGGTTTTACTCGGCGCGATTTCCACGTAGCCTTTCATTTTATCGCGAATCTTATAAATCTGCTTGGCGATAGAAAAAGCGTCGAGTTAGAATTCTGGAAAAAGTTAGTCGACGCAAGAGGGGATGCGCGTGAGAAAGGTAAACCATATGTACGACAGGAAACCGCGGTGGAAAGATAGTAAGCACCTGCTG